CTTCATCTTCATCTTCATCTTCATCTTCATCTTCATCTTCATCTTCAACATAAGAGCCTATTACAACAAATTTTTCTCGATCAACGTGGCCTCTTGGCCACTGGCGAATTGCACTCTATTAAACGAAAATTTAATAATCTATAAAACTGCATACCCAAAATTTTTGTAGAAACTCAAAAATTGTTTTTTCCAAAATTTGTTTATAAAACATTTCATTTTTTTTCCTTTCGGGGGTACCTTACAATTGTTTTGCACTCGTTTTTATTACTTAACATTTATTAATTGTAACAGGAGAATCGATTTTTTTCAAAATTGCTACATTTTCTGCACTTTGCACGAAAAAAATTAATACAAACAAACAAAAATTCAAAAATCGGACTCAGCTGGTCTCTGCAAATTTTATTCTTCTTCTCTTCTTATTTGGCGCTGTAACCGCCTAAGCGATTTTGGCCGAGTCCAAAACAGCACGCCAGTCAGTTCTCTTCTGTGCTAACTGACGCCAATTGAAAATGCCAAGTGAAGCCAAGTCCTTCTCCACCTGGTCTTTCCAACGCAGAGGAGGCCTTCCTCTTCCTCTGTTACCAGCATCGCGGCCCGCGTTGAATATTTTCAGAGCAGGAGCGTTTCTGTCCATCCGAACGACATGGCCAAGCCAGCGGAGCCGCTGAATTTTAATTCGCTGCACTATGTCTATATCGTTGTAAAGCTCATACAGCTCATCGTTAAATCGTCTGCGATATTCGCCATCACCAACGCGTAAAGGTCCGTAAATCTTTCGCAGAATCTTTCTCTCGAAAACTCCAAGAGAAGCTTCATCAGATGTTTTCATTGTCCATGCCTCCGCGCCATACACCAGCACAGACATGATGAGTGACTTATAGAGTGTGATCTTTGTACGACGAGAGAGGACTTTACTTCTCAATAGCCTACTCAGTCCAAATTAGCACTTGTTGGCAAGAGTGATTCTCCGTTGGATTTCAAGGCTGACATTATTATTGGTGTTAATGCTGGTTCCCAAATAAACGAAGTCGTCTACTTTTTCAAACTTGTAACTGTCAACAGTGACGTGGGTGCCAAGACGCGTATGCTCTGACTGTTTGTGCGCTGACAGGAGATACTTCGTTTTGTCCTCGTTCACCACCAGACCCATTCGCTTTGCTTCTCTATCCAATCCCGAGAAGGCAGAACAGACGTAGCCCTTGTTTTTACCGATAATATCGATGTCGTCGGCATACGCCAGCAATTGTACGCTCTTATAAAGTATTGTGCCTGAGCGGTTCAGTTCTGCGGCTCTTATTATCTTCTCCAACATAAGATTAAAGAAATCACACGAAAGGGAGTCCCCTTGTCTGAAACCTCGTTTGGTATCAAACGGCTCGGAGAGGTCCTTCCCTATTCTGACGGAGCTGGTGGTATTGCTCAACGTCATTTTACACAGCCGTATTAGTTTCGCGGGGATACCAAATTCAGACATCGCGACATAAAGGCAACTTCTCTTCGTGCTGTCGAAAGCGGCTTTGAAATCGACAAATAGATGGTGTGTGTCGATCCTATTCTCGCGGGTCTTTTCCAAGATTTGGCGTATTGTGAATACCTGATCTATGGTGGATTTTCCAGGCCTAAAGCCACACTGATAAGGTCCAATCAGCTCGTTGACGGTGGGCTTCAGTCTTTCGCACAATACGCTCGATAAGACCTTGTAACCTATGCTTAGAAGGCTAATTCCGCGGTAGTTGGCGCGTATGGCGGAGTCGCCTTTCTTGTGGATTGGGCAGAGCACACTTAAATTCCAGTCGTCGGGCATGCGTTAATCTGACCATATTCTGCATACGAGCTGATGCATGCACCTCATCAGCTCCTCGCCGCCGTACTTGAATAGCTCGGCTGGCAGGCCGTCAGCTCCAGCAGCTTTGTTGTTTTTCAGCCGCGTAATCGCTATTCGTACCTCGTCATAGTCAGGCGGTGGGACAGCTACTCCATCATCATCGACTGGGGACTCGGGTTCGTCTTCCTCACTACTTTCAGCGCTGCTACCATTCAGTAGGTTATAAAAGTGTTCCCTCCACAATTTAAGTATATTCTGGACATCGGTCACTAGATCGCCATTGTTGTTCTTACAGGAGTTCGCCCCGGTCTTGAAACCTTCCGTAAGTCGCCTAACCCTCTGGTAGAATTTTCGGGCGTTCTTCCTGTCGGCCAGCATCTCAAGCTCTTCGCACTCACGTATTTCGGCCTCTCTCTTCTTATTGCGGCAAATACGTCTCGCTTCCTTCTTCAGTCCCCCCAAACGGTCCCACATGGCTCGCGTTGCGCCCGATCGCAGCGTGGCCCTGTAGGCGGCATCTTTTTTCTCTGCGGCTTCTTGAGATTCCTCATCGTACCAGTTGTTCTTTCGGGCTCGCTGAAATCCAACTACTTCTTCGGCGGCGGTACTTAATGATCGGGAAATGTGGTTCCACTGCTCGCTTACGTCGGATTGTTGAAGAGTGCTCTCAGAGAGCAGGTGTGTGAGTCGAGTGGCGAATAAATTGGCCGTCTGTTGTGATTGTAGCTTTTCGACGTTAAGCTTTCCTTGCATTGTAGGGCGCACATTTTTTGCTGCACAGAGGCGGGTGCGTATCTTGGCTACAACAAGGTAGTGGTCCGAGTCGATGTTTGGCCCTCGGAGTGTACGTACGTCCAAAACGCTTGAAGCATGCCTTCCGTCTATCACAACATGATCGATTTGGTTTCTCGTTTTTCGATCTGGAGACAGCCATGTAGCTTGGTGGATGTTCTTATGGTGGAACCTAGTA